TAACCTAAAACGGCCTAAACTAGTAAACCCTTGAACCCTAACCCTAGAAATAATAAAAAAAATAACATTAAAGTGGCAGTGCCCTAGTATCTTAGCATATCATAGGTCGCATCTACTGGCCGGTGTCTCTGCATAATAACTCGCCAGCGCCCCTGTAGGACAGGAACAAAGGAAGAATTCGACACCTGCCATCTACTCGCGTATTTCCGGTTTTTTCCTTGCCATAACTGTCCCTAATATCTCAGCTAACGACCCACTCACCATTCTCTTCGCACGCGGTCTTACAGCCGTTTAAGCATAACCGGATGCCCCTGCCTGCCCGACACACTGTAGCAATGCAGATCATCTTCTTTTTTATACCAAGAGTACTCGAATTTAAATATCCCATCACCGTGCCGAAACCTCGCGGGTCCTGTTGAGCCTATAAATACGTCTTGCTTTTTTGAGATTAAGTAGACACATTTCACCTATCCGCCAGATTGTCATCATATACTTGAAAGTACGCCTCATACGTCTCCCTGTGTACCTGCCCGGAGCACTGCCAGGCTGGCTGTCGTTGTTGCTTGCTGCTGCTCTCAACTGTTGCTAACTACACTGCTGCTTATTCGTTGCTGACATTATTATCTTTTGTTGATTGTTGATATTATGATTGTGTTGATCTGACAACGAGCTAAGGCCGCACGGTGTCCGGCGGAGGTACCCAGGGAGACAGATATTCAGCGTAAAAGCTGGGGCTAGTCAGGCTTCGCGCACGCGCCCCCGACTCGACGCTGAGAAGCCAACTGGATTTCGAGAACTGGTAAGCGATCGGGAACGGAGCGACGTAAGTTGCATACAGTCGGACTGTATCTATTCCAGCAACTAGTGTGCGGCAGTTGCGCAGGCGACAGTCGCGTCGGCTAGTCGACGGACGCCTAAGCACTGCAAGTCCCCAGTGCAATCTGCAGCGCAGTATGTTTCAGACGAGTCGGATTTGCAGCCTGGACATAAGCCCCCCTCTAAGTTACCACTATTGCCATTAAACATGTGATTCAGGGTGAGCTACGTTAATGACAGGAATGCAATTTTGTTGCTGAGTACAAAAATTAAATACATGTTTATATTGGACAGTGCTTGGTTTGATACGCTGGAGGTTATGTTTTCGATTGTTATATGAATAAATGTCATGCGGTATATATTTATATATAAAAACCTTTTCCCTTTTTTCTTCTGGTTACCCCTTACCCAATATGAGTTCTTGGGCTTACGCCAAATAGTGTGATATGTCTTGAAAAACACATATGTTGTCTACTTATGATCCCTCTCAGTTCAAAGCAGATCCACTTAAAATCTAGCCAGGCAAAACTCCAGGTATGATGTGTGTGCATTCGTTCCTTTATAACTATCCTTCTGGAACATCTGGAAAAATTCTAAAATTCAAGTTCGATTCTCTTAGTAACTATTCATGCACGTAAAAAAACCAATTACCAGTTCGAACAACAAGTTAAAATTATGAAAATACGACAAGACAATAAGTTACTCCAAATTGATTTGAGTATACAACATTGCTAAGTTTTTTGGGCATACTTTTACATTCGATTTACGATATTTTTGTCCACAAGCTCTCTCTTACTTGCTATGACACCATGGAAATATAAAGAGACGGATTGCCACACCTAGTCTAACGAGTATATATCGTTCAATTCTATGAACAGGACATACCACTTGCAGCATACGTATATATACTATATATTTATTATATACACGCCATTAGTTCCGCTACACAATGATACACAGTTTGTATTAGTTAATATACTGGTGCTTCTCTGATTCAAATTCAAAATCAATCAAAGTCAAATTCAAATTAAATTCATTACAGCAATATCAACTCAGACCTCACATTGGCAAAAATAATTAATTAATATACTAATTAGTAATTTAATATAATATATAATAACTATAACTATGAGTATTAATTAATCCGCCCCATTCATCGTCTTTCATCTTTCAACTTTCACCTACTGTGTACGAATGAACTACTTCAGAACGAAACAAGTCGAAGTGAGACACGCGACTGATGAATTAGGCAAGACATGGCCTGCCGTTCTTTACATTCAATGCTCGGCTCGGGCCATGCAACCTAGCCCTCCGGCAGGCCTGTGAGACTTCTTATTGCTACGTTGTTTGTCTATGGGCCGTCCAAATGCACGTGTGGTGCTCCACAATATGTAGGAACCGGGCCCACGTATGTTGGCGTATCGTTCTCCGAAATACATGCCTTATTTAACCGCCGCGTACGAAATAATTTAGACCGCCCTGTAAATTTAGGCAAGAACAGCAAGAGCGTGACAGACGACTTTAGTTCAGGGATCGAAACTAGTAACAAGCTGGGTTCATGATAGAGTTGTTACAGCTAGCGTGTCTGAAAACACCCGCCTATTAGATCATTCCCTGATACAAAGTACAATCAAACACTACTCTAAGTATGGTTACCTTTAGTTGACAAGAAGTTAATACAAGAGTTGCACTATTGCGACAATATTATCATCGCCAATAACCACTTGCCTACGCGCGTGGGGGGGGGGCATAACCTATACAGACTAGAGTAGCCTACATAAAGATATACCTTTTATGTACGGTTACTCTATACAAGACTATTCGCTATTGGATTCCACATGTGTTTGTGTGTGTGTGTGTGTGTGTGTAGTGTGTGTGTGTGTGTGGTGTGCTGTGTGTGTGTGTGTGTGTGTGTGTTTTGTGTGTGCGCGTGCGCTGTGTCGCGTGCAGATCAGCGCGTGCCGGCAGTGTGCGTGTGCGTGTGCGTGTGCGTGTGCGTGCCCTGTGCGCCGTGGTCTGAGTGTTATTCGTGTGCGTGTGCGTTCGCTGCGTTGCGTGTGCCGTGTGCGTGTCGCGTGTGCGTGTGCGTGCCTGCGTGGCTGGGCCGTTGCGCGATCTGTGCGTGTGCGTAGTGCGTCGTGCGTGTGCCGTCGTGCGTGTGCGTGATGGTGACCCCTCGCCGTGTTCGCTCGCTCGGCGCGCGCGCGCGTGTTTCGTGTGTGTGTCGTGTGTGCGCCTCCCCGAGGCACCCGGCGCTCCTGTGTGTCGCCGCACCTCCTTCGCGCGCGCGCGCCCTGGCTCCGCGCGCCGTGACCCACCCCACCCCCGGCCCACGCTCGCAAGCGCCGGCAGACCTCCGGCCCGACGGCGCTCCACCGGGCGTGGTCGTTGTGCGCACGGCGGTGGCGGCTGTGCGTGTTGGCGTCGTTCGCGCCGCGCGGTGCGTGGTGGCCTGTGCTGTTGTGTGTGTGTCGGGTGTGGTGTGGGTGTGAGGGGTGGTGTGTGTGCTTTGTTCCGCCCGGGAGCCGCGCCGCGCTGTGTGTGTGCTGTGTGAGGCCGCCGATGTGTGTGTGTGTGCGTGCGGGCGGCGTGTGAGTGTTATTGTGTAAAACGTTTATATGGCATTTAGCCGAGATATAACCTGTGTGCACGGTCTGCTTGCTTGTACATTGAGATAAGGTGGGAGGCGAAAGCGGCCTGATCTGTTACGCCTAGGCATAATCTCCAGTAGGGGTTATTGCCTATTGTGTCAAAAGTCCACCGCATACACCGGCGTGTTCACGAAATCTGCGCTATTTTTCAAACCCGTCAATTAGCTAGGATCATGCGTGGGCTAAAGCGCTCGCAGAATCCGGTTAATGACTCTTAATATCTGGGGGTATAGCGGAATATAGAGAAGAAGACGCTGTGCCTTCATATCGACAAGATTCCGTTGTGCGCATAACAAGAATATAAATAGACGGATAAGCACATGGATTGTGCAGCTTCTTTGGTTAGGCCTCAATATTTATTACAGTGCGGCGCGCGGTTAGTTACAGCTCCGTAACAAAGCGCCGACGTACCTTTTAGTGTGTTTCTAGTAGTACTTTTAGCAAACCGAAACCGACGTCGCTTTAGACAAGTCTTCACCGCGAGCAGTTGTCGATCACAGCAAAGATGTCCGCCACCGATGCGCAGAAGCCTTACATTACCGTCCGTCGAGCGGCGTCGCTCTTCGGCGCGTCGCTGCTCGCCTCGTCGCAGGCATCGGCGCTGTCTACTACGCCATCAGGGGGCGCACGCGTCAGCAGACGACGAGCCGACTACTACGTCGCAATAAAAAAGATGAGCATATTTCCGGTCAGGCCTGTCTCTACTCCTAGCTTTCATGCTCCGCTATCGCGCGTCGGTGGCGTATTACCCGCGAAGTGTATACTACGCGATAGGAGATGACCACCTATTCGCTGTCAGGGCGTTGCTTTCCCTCTCGCCTGCTTGGTCTACCCTCGCGCTCTACCACTCGTCTCGCCGAGAAAACGTGTGATCGTCCCCACCAGCGCCTACGAGGTTAATTTGAGTCAGTATAAGACACAGCAGGTTGTGGGCTGTCACTGACTCTGTTATTCCTGAGCCTCTCTGTCTCCCCTCCCTGTCTCTCTCTCTCTCTCTGCTACTCGCGCGCGCTGTTCTCTCCCCCGCCAGAGCCGTGTTTGCTGGCGGCGACTGGACCCCCCCCTTCTCTCTCTCTACTGCTTTTTCTTTCGCTTTTCGCTCTTTCTCTCTCTCTCTCTTCTCTCTCTCTTTCTTTACTTCCCTCTCTCTCTCTCTTTCTCTTCTCTTCTCTCTCTCTCTCTTTCTCTCTCTCTCTCTCCTCGTTTCTCTCATCTCTCTCCTCTCTTCATCTCTTCCTCTTCTCTCTCATCTCTCTATGTGTGTGTGCTGGTCTCTCTCTCTCGTCATCTCTCTACATGTCTCTCTCCCTCTCTCTCCTCTCTCTCTCTTCTCTTCTCTCTCGTTCTCTCTCTCTCTCTTCTCTTCTCTCTCTCTCTCTCATCTTTCTCTCTCTCTTCTATTATCTGTCGGCTGCATGATCTCTCTCCTCTTCCTCTTTTCTTCTCCATCGCCTCTCTTCTCGTCTCTCTTTTCTGCCTCCTATCTCTCCTCGCTTTCTCTCTCTCTCTTTCTCTCTCCTATTCTCTGTCTCTGTCGTTGTGTCTCTCTCCCTCTTCCTCGCCCTCTCCCTCTCCCTCTCTCGTCTCTGCTCTCTTTCGTCTCTCCTCTCTCTCTCTTCTTTCTCTCTCCGTCTCTCTACTCTTTCTCTTTCTCTCTCTCTCTTCGTATGTAGTCTGTCGCTGTCTCCTCTTCCTCTCTCGTTCCCATCTTTTCTCTCCCTCCTTTCTCTGTGTTCTGCCTCTCTCTCTCTCCTCTCTCATCTTTCTCTCTCTCTGCTCTTCTTTCTTGCTCCCTTCTATTTCTCCTGTCTCTGTCTCGGTCGTGTGTCTTTCTCCCCGTACCCTTTCGCCGGTCTTCCCCCTTCTCTCTCTCTCTCTCTCTCTCTCTCTCTCTCTCTCTCTCTCTTTCTCTCTCTCTTCTATTATCTGTCGCTGTCTCTCTCTTCCTCTCTCTTCCCATCCTCTCTCCCCGTCTCTCTGTTTCTGCCTCTCTCTCCCCCCTCTCTCTCTCTCTGCCTTCTCCCTCTACCCCTACCCCGGTGTGCCTTCCCGCTTGCTCCACACCACCTCACCACGCGCCAATGTAGCTGGGTTACCATATATACCATTTCCATTCATTTACATCTGCAAACCATTCACTATACCTAATACACAATACCTAATACCTAATACCTAACACCCAAATAAACCGCGGTGGCTGCTTCTGTCGCTATCTCTGCCCCCTTATTGCCCTTGCACGTGATCTTACCTGCTGCCGTTGACACATCACGCGATACCGCTTATACGACATATGCAAACAAACAATAAATCTTTGTTTTTCAGTATCTGGAGCTGCGATTCAATAAACCAGTTCGAATACTTGGCACGTTGGTCTACGTAATCATGACGGTAAAAGTTTTTCCCGTTAAAAGAAATTCCACTTGTAAAGATTGCAACGTCGAGAGAAACGATTAATAATTTATAGGCCTATAGCGATTTGATTAGCAATCAATAATAAATAATGGTCCATTATATGCTTCTGCTATCACGTAAAACGCAAAACAACTCTTCATTAAATGTCAGAATTTAATTTTATTAATTTCTTTCGCTTTGACGATCTTCTTATCACAGTGACGTAGACGTGACGTAATGTATCTCACACGTATTTTTTCTAGTTCACCTACATGGCGATAGTGCTTTACACTCCAGCTCTAGCGCTCGCACAAGGTACGTGTGTCCTGTTACTGTGGCTTCAGGTGTGTACATAGACGCAGACAGATAAACACATATAAGATCAAGAGCGTATTAAGAACCTTCTTAATAAGCTCTTGATAAGATATAAGAGATATATATAGTTTTATTTATCGCTTTCAATACTATAGCAATTACAAGGATTTTAACAAAGCGGATAGCAAACAATACAGCAAATGAATGACGAAATACAGGCGCATGAAGTGGTTTTAGCGTGTCGGAGACCGGGACGTGTACAGGGGGGGGGGGCTAGGGGGTCCGGACTTCCCCCCCCCTGCTCGCGCAGAAAACGCATCTGAGGGGGTTTAATTTCAAAAAAATTCTGGGTGACCCCTCCCCTGGTCCAAGTCCTGTACACGCCCCTGGGTGACCGGTCACCGCGTACAGTGGTGAGATCTGTCATTTATTGGTGCGATTATTGTTCTATAGTGACAGGAATATCGTTGAGTGCGACCATAATCGTCAGTGGAACTGTCTGCACGTTCTATACGACTCTGGTATGCTCATGTGTTTTTATTTATTTATTCATTTATTTATTTATTTATTTATTTACTGTTTTTTCTTTGTTTCTTACTTTTTTCTTTATTTCTCTCTTTATTTATTTATCATATTTTTTATTTATTCATTATTTATTTATTTAATTATTTATTTACTTATCTCTCTCTTTTTTCTTTTTTCCTTTCTTTCTATCTATCTATCTTTCTTTCTTTCTTTCTTCCTTTAATTGTTTATTTATGTATTTAATTATCCGTGTTTGCTTCTCACAGGGGGGCATGCGGGCTGTAGTGTGGACGGATGCACTGCAGATGGTAATATTATTTGCTGGCCTCATCGCCATCGTTATCGGCGGTCTCGTCAGCATCGGCGGCTTCTCTAACATGTGGGAGAGCGCCAAGAGAGGAGGCCGCGATCGCTTATTCAAGTAAGGTGGCCATATATAAATAGAACTGTATGCAGAGAGAAAGAGAGAGAGAGAGAGAGAGAGAGAGAGAGAGAGAGAGGGGGGAGAAAGAGAATGAAAGAAAGAGCGAGAGAGAGAGAGCGCGCGAGAGAGAGAGAGAGATCGGTGTGATTAAAGATCTCATACTATGTTTATTTTCTTCATCTATATACTCTAGGTTGGAGAAATTGAGCTCATGGTTGGCAGTGATGCTGACGTACCCCAGGCTCTGCAGAGTATAGACGCACTGGCAGACGAAATGGGTAAAAAATAATGCTTTATGCGATATATATATATATATATATATATATATATATATACAGTGGAACCCCGATTTCACGCACCCCGATTTAACGCGAATTCGGATAAAACGCGATGAGTCACTGGACCCCCTTTTTTGCTCTTATATCGCCCCGTATATATAACTCCGATTTAGTGCGATCTCGCTTTTTTCACAATGACATTTTATGGACCCCAACCGTCGCGTTTTAACGGGGCTACACTGTTATAGCATATTATCGAGGATTGGTATCATCCTTGTACTGTACCCTATTCGTGGCAGTCTCCAGCTGTTATAATGCTAAGTCTATATCTCACTACATTGTAGGCAGGTTTTTGGCAATGGTGCGTCAGCAAAAATTCTCAGATATGTCAACAGAGTAAGTGAAATATAATATTTCTATTGTTGGTCGCACTCGGTCTGAGCGTTGTGCATTTATTTGATACTGGTACTTTTTATGTTTTTAGGGTTGGAACACAAAAGAGTTGCTGGGAAAATTTATGTCTATCTGCACAGAACGAATCGGGAACTTTTTAACAGGTTGTGGGGCGCCAGTGTATTCTCAGGTGAAATTCAATATGGATTATAGATCCTTCATGCCTCTGTATAATATGCACCCGGCAGTTAGATGCGATATGATATGACTACTAGGCACTTAGGATATGACTACTAGGCACTTAAAAAAAAAAAAACCCTAACCCTAACCCTAAACCTAACCTAAACCCTAACCCTAACCCTAGAAAAAAAAAAATTAAATTAAAGTGCCTAGTAGTCATATCATATCGCATCTAACTGCCGGTTGCATAATATGCAGCGCCTGTAGGAAGAAAGAATGAATTCACACTGCCATCTATCGGTAGGTTTTTCTGCCATAACTGCTATATAGCTAAGACATGATTTACGTTAGCATTATGTGCCTGTGTAGCAATGCAGATATTTCTTTATACCAAGTACTCGAATTTAAATATCCCATCACGCGAAACTCTGTGTTTAGCCATAAATTCCTTGCTTTTAAGTGTAAGTAGCACATTTCACCTATCCGCAGTTGTCTATCATATATTGAAAGTTACGCTCATACGTCTCCCTGGGTACTGCCGGACACTGCGGCTGCTGTTGTTGTTGTTGCTGCTACTAATGTTGCTACTAACTGCTGTTGTTGTTGCTGCTACTAATGTTGCTATACTAACTGTTGTTGTTGTTGCTGCTACTAATGTTGCTACTAACTGCTGTTATTGTTGCTGACATTATTATTTGTTGATTGTTGATATTATTGATTGTTGTTATTGACAACAGCAGCCGCAGTGTCCGGCAGTACCCAGGGAGACAGTTATCAGCGTAAAGTGGGGCTTATGTCAGGCTTGCGAGCCGACTCGACTGGAAGCAACTGGATTTCGAGCAACTGGAAGCGATCGACAGACTAGTTGCCTCCAGTTGCCCACTGTTCTATTTCGAGCAACTAGTGGCGGCCAGTCGCAGGCAGTCGCGTCGCAGTCGACGGACCTAAGCACTGCAGTCGCAGTGAATTGCAGCCAGTTGTTTCCAGACGAGTCGGCTCGCAAGCCTGACATAAGCCCCCCTTAAGTTACACGTATTGGCATAAAATGTGATTCAGGGTGAGCTTAGTAATGAAGGAATGCAATTTTGTTGTGAGTACAAAAAATACATGTTATATTGGACAGTGCTTGGTTGAATACGCTGGAGGTTATGTTTTCGATTGTTTATATGAATAAATGTCATGCGGTATATATTATATATAAAACCTTTTCCTTTTCTCTCTAGTTACCCTTACCCAAATATGAGTTGGTTTACCAAATAGTGGATATGTGGAAACACATATGTTGTTATTATATCCTCTCAGTCGAAGCAGATCCACTCAATCCTACCAGGAAAACTCCAGGTATGTGTGTGTGCGTTCGTTCCTTTATAACTATCCTTCTGGAAAATCTGGAAAATTCTAATTCAATCGATTTCATAGTAACTTATTCATGCACGTAAAAAAATTACAGTTCGAACAACAGTTAAAATTTAAAATAGAAAACAATAATTATCCAAATTATTGAGTATAAACATATAATGTTTTTTTGGGCATTCTTTTACATTTGATTACGATATTTTTGTCACAACTCTCTCTTACTTGCTATGGCACCATGGAAATATAAAGAGACGGATTGTCACACTAGTCTAACTAGTATATTATTTCAATATATGACACAGGACATACCACTTGAGCATACGTATATATATATTATCAAGAGCTAATAATAATGATGTGGATTCGAGGCGCCGTGAGGCCTGTGGGAGGGGAAGTTTACGAGCCAATATCTCAGCCTAGGAGTATCGTATTAACAAGCGGTTGGTCTTGTTTTAGAGAGCAAATAATTCTGCTTAATGCAATACCATAAAATTATTCTAGACTCGCGGGCAAAGTAGAATAATCATGTCGTGAAATAGCACTATTTTCCCGTTTTTAGCTCATCTGACATAGTCAGATGCAGCTTGTAGAATCGCTTGATCGTCCGTCCGTCCGTGCGTCCGTGCGTCCGTGCGTCCGTCCGTAAAGCAGTTGGGCACAATATCTTAACACGCTCGCGTACGGTTCACGATAATTCGGCACATCGGGCGGGGATCGTTCAAAACGAGTTGGGATGTCGAAGCGTGGGGTGCAAACAGTCAAAGTGTCAAGAGGTGTAAAAGAAGGATC